TGACCGACAAATCTGACTTTACATCTGGTGACAGAAATCTGACTTTATATCTGGTGACCGACAAATCTGACTTTATATCTGGTGTGACAAATATGACTTTATATCTGGTGTCCGACAAACACTTTATAATCTGACTTTATATCTGGTGACAGGTGACCGACAAATCTGACTTTATATCTGGTGTCCGACAAATCTGACTTTATATCTGGTGACCGACAAATCTGACTTGATATCTGGTGACCGACAAATCTGATTTTATATCTGGTGACCGACAAATCTGACTTGATATCTGGTGTCCGACAAATCTGACTTTATATCTGGTGTCCGACAAATCTGACTTGATATCTGGTGTCCGACGAATCTGACTTTATATCTGGTGTCCGACGAATCTGACTTTATATCTGGTGACAGACAAATCTGACTTTATATCTGGTGTCCGACGAATCTGACTTTATATCTGGTGTCCGACAAATCTGACTTTATATCTGGTGACCGACAAATCTGACTTTATATCTGGTGACCGACAAATCTGACTTTATATCTGGTGACAGACAAATCTGACTTTATATCTGGTGACCGACAAATCTGACTTGATATCTGGTGTCCGACAAATCTGACTTTATATCTGGTGTCCGACAAATCTGACTTTATATCTGGTGACCGACAAATCTGACTTTATATCTGGTGTCCGACAAATCTGACTTTATATCTGGTGTCCGACAAAACTGATTTTATATCTGGTGTCCGACAAATCTGACTTTATATCTGGTGACCGACAAATCTGACTTGATATCTGGTGTCCAACAAATCTGACTTTATATCTGGTGTCCGACAAATCTGACTTTATATCTGGTGACAGACAAATCTGACTTTATATCTGGTGTCCGACAAATCTGACTTTATATCTGGTGACAGACAAATCTGACTTTATATCTGGTGTCCGACAAATCTGACTTTATATCTGGTGTCCGACAAATCTGACTTTATATCTGGTGACAGACAAATCTGACTTTATATCTGGTGAGACTTTATATCTGGTGACAAAATCTGACTTTATATCTGGTGACCGACAAATCTGACTTTATATCTGGTGTCCGACAAATCTGACTTTATAGACAAATCTGACTGGTTGAAATCTGACTTTATATCTGGTGACAGACAAATCTGACTTTATATCTGGTGTCCGACAAATCTGACTTTATATCTGGTGTCCGACAAATCTGACTTTATATCTGGTGACAGACAAATCTGACTTTATATCTGGTGTCCGACAAATCTGACTTTATATCTGGTGTCCGACAAATCTGACTTTATATCTGGTGTCCGACAAATCTGACTTTATATCTGGTGTCCGACAAATCTGACTTGATATCTGGTGTCCGACAAATCTGACTTTATATCTGGTGTCCGACAAATCTGACTTGATATCTGATTTGTATGACACCAGGATTGACATAGTGTAAGGGAGGTAAACACATCATATTATCATTTATGATAAAATCTTCTTTACTACAGCAACATTGACTTAACGTAGTTTTGATCAAAAGCAGAAAAATGTACAGAAAACCTAGACGCTTTTGAACAGGGTCCGGAAATCAAATCAATATTGACAGGTTAATCAACATGACGTGTAGATTGTATGCTGCCAGTGTTGTTCCGGGTTCACCACTTCGAGGACGTTTGATTAAAATAGCGACGTTAGACAGAAATAAGAGAGAAAAAGAAAGAGCAGAGAAGCCCAATTGTATACATATAGCACAATCACAACTTCGAAATATAGGAATAAATAAATAAATAAGAGATAAAAATATACCTGAAATGAATGAAAAATTATTAAAATTGAGGACAGGGGGAGTGACAGAGACCTTAACACTATATACAAGCCACACCAACCCGTCTGGGGGAGTGACAGAGACCTTGACACTATATACAAGGCACACCAACCCGTCTGGGGGAGTGACAGAGACCTTGACACTATATACAAGCCACACCAACCCGTCTGGGGGAGTGACAGAGACCTTGACACTATATACAAGCCACACCAACCCGTCTGGGGGAGTGACAGAGACCTTGACACTATATACAAGGCACACCAACCCGTCTGGGGGAGTGACAGAGACCTTGACACTATATACAAGCCACACCGACCCGTCTGGGGGAGTGACAGAGACCTTGACACTATATACAAGCCACGCCGACCCGTCTGGGGGAGTGACAGAGACCTTGACACTAGATACAAGCCACACCAACCCGTCTGGGGGAGTTACAGAGACCGTATTTAACACTATATACAAGTCACACCAACCTGTCTGGGGGAGTGACAGAGACCTTGACACTATATACAAGCCACGCCGACCCGTCTGGGGGAGTGACAGAGACCTTGACACTATATACAAGGCACACCAACCCGTCTGGGGGAGTGACAGAGACCTTGACACTATATACAAGCCACACCGACCCGTCTGGGGGAGTGACAGAGACCTTGACACTATATACAAGGCACACCAACCCGTCTGGGGGAGTGACAGAGACCTTGACACTATATACCCGTCTGGGGGATACAGAGACCACACTATATACAAGCCACCCGACCCGTCTGGGGGAGTGACAGAGACCACACCAACCCGTCTGGGGGAGTTACAGAGACCTTGACACTATATACAAGCCACACCAACCCGTCTGGGGGAGTGACAGAGACCTTGACACTATATACAAGCCACGCCGACCCGTCTGGGGGAAGTGACAGAGACCGTATTTTACACTAGATAGAAGCCACACCAACCCGTCTGGGGCAGTTACAGAGACCGTATTTAACACTATATACAAGCCACACCAACCCGCCTGGGGGCACGACAGAGACCGTATTTAACACTATATACAAGTCACACCAACCCGTCTGGGGGCACGACAGAGACCGTATTTAACACTATATACAAGCCACACCAACCCGTCTGGGGGAGTTACAGAGACCGTATTAAACACTATATACAAGCCACACCAACCCGTCTGGGGGCACGACAGAGACCGTATTTAACACTATATACAAGTCACACCAACCCGTCTGGGGGAGTGACAGAGACCTTGACACTAGATACAAGCCACACCAACCCGTCTGGGGGAGTTACAGAGACATTGACACTATATACAAGTCACACCAACCCGTCTGGGGGCACGACAGAGACCGTATTTTACACTATATACAAGCCACACCAACCCGTCTGGGGGCACGACAGAGACCGTATTTAACACTATATACAAGTCACACCAACCCGTCTGGGGGCACGACAGAGACCGTATTTAACACTATATACAAGTCACACCAACCCGTCTGGGGGAGTGACAGAGACCGTATTTTACACTAGATAGAAGCCACACCAACCCGTCTGGGGGAGTGACAGAGACCGTATTTTACACTATATACAAGTCACACCAACCCGTCTGGGGGCACGACAGAGACCGTATTTTACACTATATACAAGCCACACCAACCCCCCTGGGGGCACGACAGAGACCGTATTGTACACTATATACAAGTCACACCAACCCGTCTGGGGGAGTGACAGAGACCGTATTTTACACTATATACAAGTCACACCAACCCGTCTGGGGGCACGACAGAGACCGTATTTTACACTATATACAAGCCACACCAACCCGTCTGGGGGCACGACAGAGACCGTATTTAACACTATATACAAGCCACACCAACCCGTCTGGGGGAGTGACAGAGACCGTATTTTACACTATATACAAGTCACACCAACCCGTCTGGGGGCACGACAGAGACCGTATTTTACACTATATACAAGCCACACCAACCCGTCTGGGGGCACGACAGAGACCGTATTTAACACTATATACAAGGCACACCAACCCGTCTGGGGGAGTGACAGAGACCGTATTTTACACTATATACAAGCCACACCAACCCATTCCTATCAAACATTAATAGTTTTTTGACCCTGAGATGTTTCTATATTTTTTCTATAACACTCTGAAAGGTGGGATACCAATTTTAATGCATTCTACCCCCACTGATCAACATATGTTTTAGCTAGAGGTTACTCAATCGTCTGTTACATATGGTATGATATTCGGAATATCAGAGTGTGTGTGGACTCGTAGAAAACTCAGGATCAAAGTAGATATTGGAGAAAAAAATGTAGCTCTTTTCAGCGAAGTGAAAAAGGTTTTAAAATGTTTATCTTTGTGCCAACACATCTGAAGATTTTAATAGCTTCAATGCAACTTTATCTTATACTCCTGGAGAAACAAATATGCTTGTCACGGAATGGCTAGACAATTGCCAAAATCAGCATTCATTCTTTCTTCGTGTTTTCAAATAAGGAGAATTTCGAGAGTGACTCGCTGATTTTCAAAAGCAAAAGGTCAATAAAATTTGACCTTTGAAAAGGGGAATATTTGTTTGTAAGACCAGATGTAGCATATCCTAGACACAGATGATGTTCAAACAGGCAACAGTAGATGTTGGTAGTTTTGGGGCTGTATATGTCGCTATCTTCAAAGATGCAATAAGATCGTGAAAAAAAGATACATTGAAAATAAAATTGGCTGGAAACTGTAGTCTATTTCATAATTTCGGTGAGAATGCTGTGAAAGTTACAAAGGACACTATAGTCTATTTCATGATTTCCTTGGGAATGGTGTGAAAGTGACAGAAGACACTATAGTCTATTTCATAATTTCCGTGGGAATGGTGTGGAATTGAGAGAAGACACTATAGTCTATTTCATGATTTCCGTGGGAATGGTGTGGAATTGAGAGAAGACACTATAGTTCATTTCATGATTTCCGTGGGAATGGTGTGGCATTGAGAGAAGACACTATAGTCTATTTCATAATTTCTGTGGGAATGGTGTGAAAGTGACAGAGGGCGTTATAACTCAATTTATAATTTCCGTGGGAATGGTGTGAAAGTCTTGATATGAAACTGGTATAAAGACAATAAAACTCTGGTATGAAAACAATAAAAACCAATATAATAAGCAATACATTTCATATGTTAATATAATATTGAACACTTTTCTCGAATAATTGGCTATTATGCATTCAAGTTCATTTCTCTCTTTCATGAAACATTCATTCTGTAACATCCTGGATGGAATGCTATGTCATCTGTAGAGATAAGATCCAACCATTGACTAACATGTAAAACTCAGCAATATGATGAAATGATAAACAAGCCGCGGTTTTTTGTGGAGTTTGGGCTCTTTACATAAGGACTAGAGGATCAATTGTCCTGGTTCTCTGAGGCGTCCGAAACGTAGTTATCAGGTGACATGACTATCACATTGTGACATATGTTATAAAATCCCCCTCCCCTCCATCCCCACAATCACATATTCACACAGAGGAATCCAGCGTTAACGTTAAACGGATGCATCCAACACAGAGAAATTTGGAACGGCACTGTTGAAATGTTTTACTCTTTTTGACCAGGGTACACAAGACATTTGTTTGGATTTGTCCCGCCTCCTCACCGAAGGTTTGTCGATCGTTGACGACACTGAGGACAAAGAGGGTTTGTCGATCGTCGCCGACACTGAAGGCAAAGAAGGTTTGTCGATCGTCGCCGACACTGAGGACAAAGAGGGTTTGTCGATCGTCGCCGACACTGAGGACAAAGAGGGTTTGTCGATCGTCGCCGACACTGAAGGCAAAGAAGGTTTGTCGATCGTCGCCGACACTGAGGACAAAGAGGGTTTGTCGATCGTCGCCGACACTGAGGACAAAGAGGGTTTGTCGATCGTCGCTGAGGGTGAAGTGGGGTTGTCTATCCTCACTGACAATGAGGTTGGAGAGGGTTTGTCTTTTTTCGCCGACAATGAATGTACGGACACAGTACGAGAAGTTGTAACAGAATTGAGATGTGATGACGGAGATACTTGGTTATTGTTCCCTTCCCTCTCACAACCTCCTGCCATGGTTTCTGAATCCTCGCTTGTAATACGAAATGTTGATGTACTCTGTGCACTATAAGCAGAGCTTCTTTTTCGTGAAAATCTGAAGAAAAAAAAATCTGATGAATATCTATCACAAGAACATTGTAAAATAAAATTGCATGCAGTAATGATAAATTAATCGTATTTAAATCTGGTTATCACAATTAATTTATTGTGTGAACAGAAAGGATGAGTGTCTCTAGGGAAAGTGTTTATAATTGGAGTAAAAACTGATCCTCGTGGTTCTGGATTAAGTTTGAGGTATTTATATTAAAATCATAAAATCAAAACAAAACGGAAATAGTTTACGGAGATGCATAACCCAGAATAGCGAGACTTCATCGCCCTAATTCAATATAATCCCTGTATGTTTAACATTTTAAAATGTATATACTATATCTATTATTCTGCAAATTCTATGATTTATTAGTGCAATGGTACTGTCAGTACTTCTGCGACAACATTTTGACTATACAAGATTAACAAAAGACCCATGAATGATTAGCAGCTGTTCAAAGTTAAAGTAAGAGACACTAGAACCAAACAGCGAATTAAACTACATCTGTTTCGTCCTAGGAACCGCCAGTAGTGATATTGGATTAAATTTTGAAGGCTAGGGGGCGACTGGAATAAAACCAAAGTGATTGAAAGAGCATGTCCAGACGGGAAGGTGCACCCACCCAATAATTCAATAAATGTTGTGGTTCATGTTAAGTGTGGCAACAGCCGTTAGATTTATATAAGAATTTTATGTATTAGGAAGATAGCAGGCAACATTTGAAGGTATACAGGCTGTCAATTGTAACAGATGACATTATATCGAGGTTTAACAGAATGTGATTTAAACTTATGTGCTATTTTTTAATTTCATATACAAAATTTGTGAATGAGTGTTAACACTTTAATGGAATTGTCTAAAGAAGAAAAAGTTTAGTGATTAATTTAGGTGAAATTTTAAACAAATTTCCAATCAAATGAGCCGAATTTCATCTCCTTTTACATCAATTCGTATTATTAACTAGTTTGAAAAATATGTTAAAAGAAAAGCATGAAATGTTTTGTTTTTTTCTCACTTCTTCTGTTGTAAATGTATTTAATAGATCGTATTTTTAAACGCTAACTTTAAAATTGTCCTTCAATTTATCCCTTTATCTGCACACATAATTGACTGGACCATGATATTAAAAACGTTATAATTTCTAGAATGACAGAACAAAAGAGCTGTATACCTTATAGGAAGTTGACACTTTAAAATGCTGAAAAAGTGTAGTCTAAACTTGTCGTTGGCCGCGACGTACAGAAAAAAGTTCATGGTGTAATTAGAAAACTGTAAGATATACACCACAGACCACGCTAAATCCTTCTTGGCGTTAAATACTGCGTCATCAGTATGTGTATAGGAATCCACAATAAAGTACAAACAGATCGGTAAGGTTGCAAACAAAAAGTAGGAGTTGGTGACGAGAGCCATCTTGGTGAGTTTGATGCTGTACCTATGTCTGTTGGATGCGGCGTTAGTGCTAATACTAGATGTTTTTAAATATTCAATTGAACGTCGGTAGACTCGAACAATGCATATGTTCATAACAAACATCAAAATTGCTGGCAAAATGGAGAGAAAAACAAAATCTATGTACACGAAAACATATTCATCAAAATGAAATGTTTCATCTGTTAACGATGAACAAGCCAGTGATCCATCCCTGGTCGTTAATCCATTGGTCCAAAAGAGATGGCCGTCCACACACACAAGAAATGAAAATATTATTATCAAAGCTAAAATCTCCTTCTTCACTGTCATAACCCGTATATATCGAAACGGGAAATTGGTTTTTAGGAAACGTTCAAATGTGAAACATACTAAAATCCAGGACGAAAACTGCATAGAGACGTATATCACAAATAAATTGATTTTACACCCAGCTTGAGAAATAAGTCGGAGATCAAAATCAAACATTTCATTGACCCAGTATCGGCTGAGTCCAACACACAAAACGGTCATGTCTGTGAAAGCAAGAGGGACAAGGAAAAACAAAGATGGCTTCTTTAAAAACCGCATTCGTCTTAAAATGATAACACTGAATGTGTTGCCGAATATTCCGACTAAGAACAATACAGGAGACAAAATTTTCCATAGATATGAACTAACTTCTGCGAGCAGTTCCTCAGTTGGTGACGTAGAAGTGACGTCAGCAGTGGACACATTCGAATTGTTGACATGTCCGGTTATAAAATTAAAATCTGTAGTATTTATGTAAGTTTCATTGTGAGAACTGCTCCCGGGATATGTTGGTGATGTGAAGACGTAGTCCGGGGGGTCAAACATTGTCCAGGTAGACATTCTGTTGTACGTCTGTATCCTGCAAATAACACACAATATTAAAAAAAAAATCGTTGTAAACTGATAACATTTTATCTGATAAATACTAAAAAGGAATGTTCACAATTCATATGAATATTAGAAATATGGATATATTTTAGTCGTGTTATATATATTACATACAAATATAGCTTTCAATCACTTAATAGTTCTTTGCCGAAAAAAATGTTTTAGTAAATTTATCGCATTTTTATATCTAACTCCATAACAGTTCGAGACACCAATATCTGATCTAACTGATATAGAGCTTATAATATCAAAATGTTCTTCAATGGTTATTTTATCAGTGGAAGATGCATATTATGACGCGTGCTGGCGATACAGATAAGTTAACTCATTACGTTAAGTGTGGGTGTGTTCAGCCATAGAGTAAAGTATATCATGTACAACCATTACGATAGGATGTAAGGTGATAGTCCCAAGTTTGGCAAATTGTACACCTACACTGGATACTGTTAAACAGCATTTGCTAATTTCAAATTTAACTACAAACCTGATACATATCAAAGTCATAATATACTGGAATATATCAACCACTTTCTCAGTTTACTAAATGTATCTACTATATAAATTTAAATTAGATTTACCGCGCGTAATTGGTAAAATTTAAGTGTTTCAAGACATAAAATATCTACAAATTAATTCATGTGTCAGCCCTGTCTTTATAGAACATACGATGAAAAGCAGTCGTCATTCGAGTTGTTCACAAATTAAACTGATTGAAATATTATAGGCGATTAATATCATTAACGAAATTTATGAAATAAATGACCGCAATAGGCATTAGGAGGTTTTACAAAACACTTCATACATTTTGTTAAACCCAAACCGATTACATTATGAATAAATCACATTTTTTGTGTAAATTATTTAAGAAATAAATATTGTGGTATTTTATCATCCCTCAAAAATTACGATTTTAATAATCTAAAAATAAAAAGTATAAGACGTAGTTAAAAAATGTAAAACAGAAAATAAACTGATATAAACCACTTGATTACAGAATCAACAAAGAGCTCCCCAGCCCTTACCGACAGTGAAATGTTGAGGCGTAATAAATCACCCAAAAAAGATGTGTTTTGTCGTAAATAGCTGCACAGTGTCCGTCAATCTGTTTGTGAATGCAGTTAAGTGCTCTTAGAATTATCTCATTTTTTGTGCTATGACATATATATAACCTATCGTCTGTCTGACATTGACGACGTACTGACAATTGTGTCCTACCAAGAAATCAAGGAAAAACGGATCCTCAGTACTTCACCGAATTAGAAACATAAGTGAACGTTAGAATTATGTTATAATGCCAGTTTCTTTACTGTACCAAGATCCTTTTGACAGTATAAGAAGGTTAGCTATGTATTGAGGCGACCAACCGGTGTATTGCATAGATAAACATTAGTTTGTGCAAAGATGCATGTTTCTCCTAAATATATACTCTGAACGTCCGAGTTTATTTGATAAATATAAAACAATTTCGACCTGAAACAAAATGACGGGAATAAGCCTGTGAACATTGAATCAACTTGAACATATATAAATCTTTAATTGGGGAAGCAAGGTTAGTATTATCGAGAAATGAAAGTTATATCAACTGAAAACTGATTTCACCACTGATCTTATAAACTTGCAATTTTCAAATATGAAATAACTTACAAATTGCAATCATTGTATTAAAAATTGAAACAGTTTTATTGACTGCTGTACTGGAAATTTAACGAGGCAAAATATAGAAGACAAGACTTTAAATGCTATAATTGATTCTGTTGACTAATATCAACAAAATCATCGGAGCGTATCTTTATCATTAGTTGTTTTTAATATATGTTGGTTTGTGCATGCATGCCTTCATCTTAGATGACAAAAATGAGTTCGTGGCGACTGTTTTTGAGCTCTAGCTTGTTCAACTGTATACTTATATAGTAGATATGTATAGTTTTAGATACTGCCTACTTATATGTAAATGACACTGTCTGCCTTTTTTAAAACCAAATGTTTGACATCAAAAATGATATTCTACAATCATATTTAAAAAATAATATATATTATACAACACATGTATGTCAACTATTTAACATTCAGCTATATGAAATGATTTTATAAATATTATTTACAGAATTCTGAATTCCTCACAGTACGATACTTACCTTGGTCAGTATCTGCAGCACATGTTTATAAAATGCACAATCCTTGGTGCACATACGATATAAATCAGTGTTATCAGCATGACGTTACAAACAACTACTAAACTGTTTGTGTTTGGACCGCAAGCATTCTCGTTGAGTCATTAGATAAAAAAAAGTATTTGTAATTCGTGTTAATCCTGAGCTGTTTAGAAACTTCTCAACAACTGTAGTCAAGTACTCGGAACTCGAGTACATGTCCGTGTATCACCTAACACAAAGACCCGATATCGTTAAATGCACTGTACATACAAACCTTAATTGTAAAAATAGAGGTGTAACTACGGATGACTGTTCACGCCACACGTGAGATTGAGTGATGAACCTGTGGATAGCAGTTCACGCCACACGTGACATTGAGTGATGAACCTGTGGATAGCAGTTAACGCCACACGTGACATTGAGTGATGAACCTATGGATGGCAGTTCACGCCACACGTGAGATTGAGTAATGAACCTATGGATGGCAGTTCACGCCACACGTGAGGCTGAGTGATGAACCTATGGATAGCAGTTCACGCCACACGTGAGGCTGAGTGATGAACCTATGGATGACAGTTCACGCCACATGTGAGACTGAGTGATGAATCTGTGGATGACAGTTCACGCCACACGTGAGACTGAGTGATGAACCTATGGATGACACTTCACGCCACATGTGAGATTGAGAGATGAATCTGGGATGACAGTTCACGCCACATGTGAGACTGAGTGATGAACCTATGGATGACACTTCACGCCACACGTGAGACTGAGTGATGAACCTATGGATGACAGTTCATGCCACACGTGAGACTGAGTGATGAACCTATGGATGGCAGTTCACGCCACACGTGAGATTGAGAGATGAACCTATGGATGACAGTTCACGCCACACGTGAGACTGAGTGATGAACCTATGGATGACAGTTCACGCCACATGTGAGACTGAGTGATGAACCTATGGATGACAGTTCACGCCACACGTGACATTGAGTAATGAATTTGTGGATGACAGTTGACGCCACACGTGAGACTGAGTGATGAACCTATGGATGGCAGTTCACGCCACATGTGAGATTGAGTGATGAATCTGGGATGACAGTTCACGCCACATGTGAGACTGAGTGATGAACCTATGGATGACAGTTCATGCCACACGTGAGACTGAGTGATGAACATATGGATGACAGTTCACGCCACACGTGAGACTGAGTGATGAACCTATGGATGACAGTTCACGCCACATGTGAGACTGAGTGATGAACCTATGGATGACAGTTCACGGCACACGTGAGATTGAGTGATGAACCTATGGATGACAGTTCACGCCACACGTGAGGCTGAGTGATGAACCTATGGATGGCAGTTCACGCCACATGTGAGATTGAGTGATGAATCTGGGATGACAGTTCACGCCACATGTGAGACTGAGTGATGAACCTATGGATAGCAGTTCACGCCACACGTGAGATTGAGAGATGAACCTATGGATGGTAGTTGACGCCACACGTGAGATTGAGTGATGAACCTATGGATGACAGTTCACGCCACACGTGAGATTGAGTGATGAATCTGTGGATGACAGTTCACGCCACACGTGAGACTGAGAGATGAACCTATGGATGGCAGTTGACGACACACGGGAGATTGAGTGATGAACCTATGGATAGCAGTTCACGCCACACGTGAGATTGAGAGATGAACCTATGGATGGCAGTTGACGACACACGGGAGATTGAGCGATGAACCTATGAATAGCAGTTGACGACACACGGGAGATTGAGTGACGTGCTTGTGGCTGGCAGTTCACAGTTCATTTGCCGAAAATGTCATTGATATTTTTCGCGGCAATTTTTGAAAAATATCTTTTTAAAGTATAAAAATGAAGAATTAGATAAGGTATATGTGAAAGTTTTTTACATCATATAACTAAAATCTGCTTTGATTGAGCTCAGACTGTAAATTCTGTTGTAACACATTATTGAAATGAAGGTATGCATGTGGAATTATAATATAGTTGTGCAGTTACGATGGAGATTTTGGCTTACATAATCGGATGTATTGACATTAAGTGATGCATACAATCACTAGTTATTTTTGGTGGTCCTTAAGCCTATTTATGTAACCAGTAATGCAGCTTGTGATGTGCACGTAGCCTTATAATCCAGTTATTTGTTTTTATTTGCAATATCTGACTACAAAACTTGACAACATTTCCGATAGAAATTTACCTCGCTGATTTGGCTGTCGTATAAGCACCGTTTAATTACAATAATTTCAGCTGTTGATATTTTATCCCGATTCAGGATTTTAAGAAAAGTGTTTGTTGAAGTTCTTTCCCTGCCTTTTCCTATGTTTTCCTGAATATGACAATGTATAGGCAGTATACATGTTGTGAAGCCAGACTATAGTTAGGCTTATCAAAACGGACATCCTGTCATACTTGAAAGCAAATATAATGAAATATGGAGTTAAAGTGCCCCAGTGTGTAAGTAAGAAGTATAGGACCCAGTGTGTAAGTAAGAAGTATAGGATCCAGTGTGGAAGATACTACACTTATGTATAGGACAAAAGACAATATAACACATTACATTATATATATGTCAATAGGACGAGAGAATATATAATATATATGTCTATAGAACGAGAGAATATATATATCTATAGGACGAGAGAATTTATAATATATATGTCTATAGGACGAGAGAATATATGATTTATATGTCTATAGGACGAGAGACTATATAATATATATGTCTATAGGACGAGAGAATATAAAATTTATATGTCTATAGGACGAGAGACTATATAATACATATGTCTATAGGACGAGAGAATATATAATATATACGTCTATAGGACGAGAGAATATATAATATATATGTCTATAGGACGAGAGAATATAGAATATATATATCTATAGGACGAGAGAATATATAATATATATGTCTATAGGACGAGAGATTATATAATATATATGTCTATAGGACGAGAGAATATAATATATATGTCTATATGACGAGAGAATATAATATATATGTCTATATGAGGAGAGAATATATAATATATATGGCTATAGGACGAGAGAATATATAATATATATGTCTATAGGACGAGAGTCTATATAATATATATGTCTATAGGACGAGAGAATATATAATATATATGTCTATAGGACGAGAGAATATATAATATATATGTCTATAGGACGAGAGAATATATATGTCTATAGGACGAGAGAATATAATATATATGTCTATAGGACGAGAGACTATATAATATATATGTCTATAGGACGAGAGACTATATAATATATATGTCTATAGGACGAGAGAATATATAATATATAATATATAATATATATGTCTATAGGACGAGAGAATATATAATATATATGTCTATAGGACGAGAGAATATATAATATATATGTCTATAGGACGAGAGAATATATAATATATATGTCTATAGGACGAGAGAATATATAATATATATGTCTATAGGACGAGAGATATATAATATATATGTCTATAGGACGAGAGAATATATAATATATATGTCTATAGGAGAGAATATAATATATATGTCTATAGGACGAGAGAATATATAATATATATGTCTATAGGACGAGAGATTTTATAATATATATGTCTATAGGACGAGAGAATATATAATACATATGTTTATAGAACGAGAGAATATATAATATATATGTCTATAGGACGAGAGATTTTATAATATATACGTCTATAGGACGAGAGAATATATAATATATATGTCTATAGGACGAGAGATTTTATAATATATACGTCTATAGGACGAGAGAATATAATATATATGTCTATAGGACGAGAGAATATATAATACATATGTCTATAGGACGAGAGAATATAGAATATATATATGTCTATAGGACGAGAGAATATAATATATATGTCTATAGGACGAGAGAATATATAATATATATGTCTATAGGACGAGAGATTTTATAATATATATGTCTATAGGACGAGAGAATATATAATACATATGTTTATAGAACGAGAGAATATATAATATATATGTCTATAGGACGAGAGATTTTATAATATATACGTCTATAGGACGAGAGAATATATAATATATATGTCTATAGGACGAGAGATTTTATAATATATACGTCTATAGGACGAGAGAATATATAATATATATGTCTATAGGACGAGAGAATATAAAATATATGTCTATAGGACGAGAGATTATATAATATATATGTCTATAGGACGGGAGATTTTATAATACATACGTCTATAGGACAAGAGAATATATAATATGTATGTCTATAGGACGAGAGTCTATATATGTCTATAGGACGAGAGATTTTATAATATATACGTCTATAGGACGAGAGACTATATAATATATATGTCTATAGGACGAGAGAATATAATATATGTCTATAGGACGAGAGAATATAATATATATGTCTATAGGACGAGAGAATATATAATATATATGTCTATAGGACGAGAGAATATATAATATATATGTCTATAGGACGAGAGAATATAATATATATGTCTATAGGACGAGAGACTATATAATATATATGTCTATAGGACGAGAGAATATAAAATTTATATGTCTATAGGACGAGAGACTATATAATACATATGTCTATAGGACGAGAGAATATATAATATATATATCTATAGGACGAGAGATTTTATAATATATATGTCTATAGGACGAGAGAATATAATATATATATATCTATAGGACGAGAGAATATATAATATATATGTCTATAGGACGAGAGAATATAATATATATGTCTATAGGACGAGAGAATATATAATATATATGTCTATAGGACGAGAGAATATAATATATATATATCTATAGGACGAGAGAATATATAATATATACGTCTATAGGACGAGAGAATATATATATATATATGTCTATAGGACGAGAGAATATAGAATATATATGTCTATAGGACGAGAGATTTTATAATATATATGTCTATAGGACGAGAGACTATATAATACATATGTCTATAGAACGAGAGAATATATAACATATATGTCTATAGGACGAGAGATTTTATAATATATACGTCTATAGGACGAGAGAATATATAATATATATGTCTATAGGACGAGAGATTTTATAATATATACGTCTATAGGACGAGAGAATATATAATATAT